GGGACAGAGTCAGATACAAAGGAATTCTGCAGAGCCAGGACATGGAGCTCCTTGCCTGGCACAGGAGGGCTTTTCCCACCTCCAGGGCTGTGTGTTCTCCTCTGGGTTTGAGGATCAGCCCGGGAATGATCCCTGGCACTGCACCTTTCTCCTTCCACACCGGATTTTTGCTGCAGGAAGGATGGCCGTGCCCCGGCCCGGGCACAGATCTCCTTTCCCCGATTGTGAAACCTCAAAGAGCTGCTTTGTTCCTTTGTTTGCAGAGGAGGAGCGGGGTGGCAGCGCTGCCTGGCCCTGCCCTCCCCTGCCTGGGCTCCCCCTGCCCCTCCCCAGGGATGCTGGAGCAGCAGGGAAGGAGGGAACAGGGAAGGGATGCTCTGCCCTGCCCCATATTCTCGCTCAGGGCTTCCCAGCCTGTCTGTTTTCTGCTCAAGCTCCTGTTACCAAAGAGTTTTCCACCTTCCAGCCTGGGATTTCGGGGCACTCTCTCCCCCTGAGGCGCTTAAACAAGACAAACATTGCAAGGAGCCTCAAAACACCAGAAAAGTCCTGGGTTGCTCCTCAAAACACCAGAAAAGTCCTGGGTTGCTCCTCGTTCCGTGCGGTTGGTGCTGATGGGGAAGGTCCTGGCTGGGGATGGGATGGATTTTTCTGCCTCCCTTCGAGGCCTTTGTAATAGTCCCATTTTTTCCTGTGAGTTCTGCTCAACCCAAACCGAGGGAGGAGTTGGGTAATGAGAGGAAAGAGCCGAGTCCAAGAATAATGCAGAGCTTGAAGGAACCTTGGAAACGGTGGCTGATCCTGGAGATGGATGGAAATGACTCTGAGAAATCAATAATCCCTTTTTTTTTTTTTTTTTCATGCCTCTGAGTCACTGGGAGCGAGGGGATGGAGGAATAAAAACGCCCCATTAACGTCAGCAGAATGCAGGGAATGACTCAAAAAGTGAGATCCATAAAAATTATGTGTTGTGGGAGTGCAAATGCTCTGGATGTGCTTCCAGAAGTGCTGGATGGGGCACAGAGAGCAGGGTTAGGAGCTGGGATTTCCATCCAAGCCAGGGCTCCAGGGGTGTCTGTGGCTCCCTGGAAGTGCACCAGGGCAGGCAGCACCCAGGGTTGAGTTTAGCAGGATTGGTTTTTATCTTCCAGAATCCTCTGTCTTCCCAAATTGCTTCCTGGTGGTGGGTGGGTGGGGGTTCAAAGAATCCCTGAATTCCCCCCCCACCAGTTTCTTTCATCCCTTTCTCTCTTCCAGAACAGTATAAAGGATGTTCAGGGAGGGAAAATAACTTGCAGTGAAAACAAAAGGTTCTGACCCAACAAAATTCAGGTCAAATAATTCGTAAGCGAGGAGGAAAAAGGCGAAGAAATCTGGGAAAATCATCCCAGGAGTTTGAAGTGCTGCTCAGCTGCTGCTCAGGGCTTAAATTCAAGGGGAAGGCAGGAAATGCAACGTTTCTCTTGAAGTTTTGGGGGTGTTTGAGTTTTCTGTGTGCCCTTGGCTGTGTCATTGTCACCACGGTGGGTCACGATGGGACAGGAGGGGGTTTGGTCTCCACATCCACAGACCCCTCCAAGGTCCCCGTGGGAGGAAGCACCAGGCAGTGGGACCAGTGTGGGATCAGGACTGGTGGCTGCTTCCAGCCTTTCCTCTCCCTCTTTGTGTCGTTCCTGTGGGGAAGGGGCTCTTTTCCTTCCTGGCTGGGAAATGTCGGCACCACCTGCGACGTGCCGGGAGCGGGACGGGAATGCTGAGCTGTGTCCCCACAATGTCCCAGGATCCCACAGCTCCCCCTCCTCCCCAGCCCCTCCTTGCCTTCAAAAGCCTTCCCTGGCCAGGCCAGGAAATAGGATGTTTGTCCAGCACGGAATTCCAGTGCCCCCACTCCGAGCCAGGAAGCCCCAGGGAGCGAAGGATGCGGAGGAGCAGCGCGTGGAGGGAAAACAAATACGGGAAAAACAAACCATGTCCCGTTTGAAACTGTCCCCTGGATGGCAGAGGAGTCAGGAGAAGAGATTTCATCCTCCTGGACAGAAAATTAGGCTGATTTTTAACAATTTGCCATCGTAAATCATGGAATCCTGGGGTGGTTTGGGTTGGGAGGGACCTTAAAGCTCTTCTTGTTCCACCCCCTGCCACAGGCAGGGACACCTTCCACTATCCCAGCTTGCTCCAAGCACTTTCCAACCTGGCCTTGAACATTCCAGGGATGGAGCAGCTTTTCTGGGTGACCTGCACCAGTGCAAGGTGGTGTTGCCTGTGAATCCATGGATTTGGCTGGGCAGAATTCCCACGTGCAACCCCCATCAACAGCCAGGTTTGTGGCACAGGGATGGAGCATCACCCTTGGCACGTGGGATTTTTGTTGGCTTTCTCCTTCCTGGCATCCCTGAGGTCACTTGGTGGCTTTTCCACATTCTTTGGGAGCAGCTGGATGATGGGAAAATCCTTCCATGTCAGAGCCAGCAGAAGCCAAAGGGCTCCTGCTCCTTCCCCCCTCCCCTGGATCCTTGGAAGCACTGTGAGATGTGTCTGTCTGCTCTCCTTGGAGAGAAGGTTTTGGTGGATACAGAGAGGGAAAAATAAGTGGAATAAAGAATAAAATTAAAGGCAAAATAAAGCTGGAACCTGCTTGGGAAGTTTTCATCCATCCAGAACGGAAGCATCACTCATGGAAACTCCCTAATGGAACATTGCAGTGGAAAAATGGGGATTTTCTTCCCAGCCTGAACATCCTTCGAGGTTTTTATTTGTAGGAAATGCCTCCTGCAGCCCAGGGGGCTCCAGAGGGAGAGGGATTTGGGCAGCTCAGGGCAGATAGATCCCATGGGCCAAACCTGGAGGTGCAAACAGGAGGGATGCTTCCCAACAGCCTCTGCTGAAGGATCAGCCACCAGGATGGTGTTTGGGAAGTGGATTTTCCTGCCTGTTCCCAGCCAAGGACCTTGTTTTAACCACAGGGCAAAACCCCTGTGGGAGCAGAGCCAGGAGAAGGGGAACAGGATTCTGGGAGTTTTAGTGTTCAACCCCAAATCCCCCTCAGCCAAAACTGTCCCCTGGACACAAACCCATCCCTGGACACAAAACCATCCCTGGACACAAACCCATCCCCTGGCCACAAACCCCTCCCTGGACACAAACCCATCCCTGGACACAAACCCATCCCTGGACACAAACCCATCCCCTCAGCACTGAACTCCCCTGAGCTCCCTTTCCCTCCATCCCAAGGTCCCACTCTCCTCCCACGTTCCGGCTTCTCCCACCAGGAGCAGGAGCTATTTCTGGCACAGAAAAGGCTCTGCTGGCTCCAGACCCTGGAATGTGCTGGAAAATTCCTGTCTGGGAGCCCCCCACGGCCCAGGCCAGCCCTGGGCAGCCGGAGCCCCTGGCCAGGGATTTTGCCGGCGCTCCCAGGCTCGCTCCGTGGTGGGCTGGTGTTTCCAGGCAATACTGGCTGGGGTTAGAGGGAAGAAACTCTGGATTTCTCCAGCAAAACAGGAACTTGGGCTCAGTGTTTCCTCCTGGCACGGAGACTTTCCCAGTTTTTGGGAGAGCTGGAAAAAAAGAGGGATGTGAAAGTGCTGAAGTCCTGGAGCTGCATCACCTTTGTATTTGGGAATCATGGAGAGTGGGGAGCACCCAGAGCTCACACAGGAGGATCCACAGGAAGGATGAAAACACATCCTGGAGCTGCTCTGTGCTGGTGCTTTGTTTGGCAGAGACTTGGAAGCTGAATTTTGTGGATGCACAAAATATGGGGAGCCCCTTTTTTTGGCTGCCCCCTCATGACAGGAGGGGTTTCCATGGAGGTGTCTGGGGGGACCTTCTGTGGGGCACCTGGAAAGTTCGGGGGGGAAAGGATGGAGCAAATGGCCCTTTTGGTGGAATTCAAGGCTGGCTTTGCCAAAAGTTGGAAGCAGAGGAGGAAGAAATAAGAGTAAAGTTCAAATCCCAGAATCATGGAGAAAACCAAGAACTGAAAACTATACAAAAATATGTTTTTGTGCTTTTGGAATGTTATAGAAAAATCCATTTCAATTTGAAAACTCATCAGTCAGAGGAAAATGTCAGGTTGAGTGAAGCTCCTGCCTGTCCCCAGGCCGTGGTCAGGGGGTTTTCCTGGCCCTGCCCCCTCCAGCTGCTGGGATCAGCTTGGCAAAGATTCCCAGGGCTTGCTTGGACCTCGGGCTGCATTTATTCAGAGCAGAGAGGTCTCCAGCCCAAAGCAGTCTCTCTGCTCTCACTTTGGGTTAAATCCTCAAGGATTTTAAGGCTGGGCTGGAAGGTGTTGGAGTGGGATGAGCTTTGAGGTCCCTCCCAACCCAGACCCTGAGACCCTCTGCTGCTCCTCACTCTCCCTTTTCCTGAGATCCCTGCTCCACCAGGGTCAGCTGGTGTGTCCTTGGCGTCCCTGGTTTGACAGGATCAGCTGGTGGGTTCTTGGGATCCCTGATCCACTGGGATCAGCTCATTGGTCCGTGGGATCCCTGGTCCACCAGGATCAGCTGGTGTGTCCGTAGGATCCCTGCTCTGCCAGGATCAGCTGAGGGGTCCCCGGTGGATCCGGTGGTTTTCCAGGTCAGCCCCCACGGGCATCCCTGTTCCAAACCAGCTGAGGCAGTGGACCGTGGCACATCCCATCTCCCTGACGCTCCCTCCCGCCTGAGCGCTCCCATCCTGCCCCCATTGCCGCTCCCACGTGGTCCAGGCGGATCCATTTCCGAGCCATCGCCTTAGGAGCCGTAATTCCTTTGTCATGTGCACGCGGAGCGGCCGCTCCGGAGCGGAGCAGCTGGAATTCTGTGGCAGCACAGGGGCTTTCCCTGCCTTTTGCGAGCCCTCCCTGCCCTGGGGGGACGTTTGAGGTTTTCCAGGGGTGCCAAAGCTCTCCAGGTAACCCCCTGTGGCGGCCTGCAGGGCTCGGGAGCGGGGAGCGAGCGGGATCCATCCCGGGGAGGGCGATTTGGGAATGCTGACCCCGGAACGTGTTCCCACAGATGTCATGGCGCCCGCAGTACCGCAGCTCCAAGTTCCGCAACGTGTACGGGAAGGTGGCGAGCCGGGAGCACTGCTTCGACGGCGTCCCCATCACCAAGAATGTGCACGACAACCACTTCTGCGCCGTCAACGCCCGCTTCCTCGCCATCGTCACCGAGAGCGCCGGCGGCGGCTCCTTCCTCGTCATCCCCCTCGAGCAGGTCAGCCTGGGCCCTGCAGGGCACTCCGGCCTGGAGCTGCTCCAGCTCCGGCCCCATCCCCATCCCCAGCTCCATCCCCATCTCCATCTGTCTCCATCCCCATCTCCATCCCCATCTCCATCCCCATCTCCATCCCCATTTCCCCCTCCACCTCCATGTCCATCCCTATCCCCATCCCCATCTCCATCTCTGTCCTCATCCCCATCCCCATCTCCGTCCCCATCCCCATCTCTCCATCTCCATCCCCATCCCCATCTCCATCCCCATCTCCATCTCCATCCCCATCATCCATCTCCATCCCCACATCCCTCTCTGTCTCCATGTCCATCCCCATCCCCATTTCTGTCTCCATCCCCATCCCCATTTCTGTCCCCATCCCCATCTCCATCTCCACATCCCCATGTCCATCCCCATCCCCAAATCCCCATTTCCATGTCCATCTCCATGTCCATCCCCATCTCCATCTCCATTCCCATCCCCATCTCCATCATTCCCCTCTCCATCATCTCCATCTCCAATCCTCCCCAAAGTCTCTGCTGGTCTTGGGTGGGATGGGAGGATTTCCAGCTGCCTCAGGGAATTGGGGCTTTCCTTTGGGAAGAGAGGAGACATCTCTTGGAGGGTTTTTGGCATCTCTCGGGGAGTTGGGCACTGGGAATGTCTCCACCCTGTCCCGTGGCGATGCCAGGTGCCACCTGGGTTTGTGATCCTGGGATTTCACCCACACAGCTCCCAGAAAGTCCCTGTGGAGCCCCTCACCCTGCAGAGCAGGCAGCGAGTCCTTGTCCTTTATTGGAGCTTCTGCATCCCAGAATCCCCAAATCTGCCGAGTTGGGAGGGACCCACAAGGATCATCGAGTCCAAATTACCCGAGGGAATGTCTGGAGCTGTGCCAGGACAAGCTTAGGCTGGCTATTAGGAAAAGTTTCTTCATCCAGAGGGTGGTCAGACCTGGAACAGGCTCCTCAAGGCAGCTCTTCCCCTCTCCCCTAATCCTGCCTCCAGCACATCCTTCTGCTCCTTGTGTTGTGCTTTTCCTTCTCCAGCCAAGACTCCCCCCAGCCCTTCCCGAGATCCCACAGGATCCACACTTCTCTTCCTCCTGCAGTTTTACACTCCCATAAATCCAGCTGAGGCTCCAGTGGGACACGCTCAGTGTTCCTGCCCCAGAGCTCATCCCTGAGGCTCCAGGAGGGAAAGGAACTTGAACATGGAATTGGTTACCTTGGAGAGAAGGGATGGCTTTGGACTGAAAGAGTTTATTAAATTAGATAAAAGGAAGGTTTTTCCCTGGGAGGGTGGGCAGGCCCTGGCTCAGGGTGCCCAGAGGCTGTGGCTGCCCCATCCCTGGAAGTGTCCAAGGCCAGGCTGGAGCAAACTGGGATAGTGGGAATGTGCCCATGACAGCGGATTGGAGCTGAACAATCTTTAAGGTCATTCCAACCCCAACCATTCCGGCATTCTTTGACCCTCTGCACTGCCCTGCTCCTGGACAGCAAAATCCAGTGCCAAATCCACAGGAATTCCAGCTGGGAGGGGAAGCTGGCAGAGCCAGGGTGGGTGGAGGAGCACAACCCTCTGAGCCCCTCCACACCCCATCATTCCTCTTAGACACTTTCCCCACATAACATTCCCACCTCTCCTGAATTCCTCTTTGATTTCTGGAGTCGACTCCGCTACAGATGGAAGAAATTATAATCAGTGCTTTAATTGCTCAGCACAGCTTGAGGCTCATTAATATTCGGGGAAGCAGGAGCTTTGTGTGAGCCCCCGGAGCGCTCCCGCCCCATCCCTGCTTCCCCAGCCCCAGCTGGGGGGATGCCCATCCTCACTCCGCTTGCTCCCGATCCCAAATCCTTGGGAACAACCCAATATTGCCAGTGAATTACCCTTTTATTCCCAGCAAACGTGGGGTAAGAGCAGAGGTGCCGTTTGCGACCTGTTCCGAAGGGAAATCCTGGCACAATCCACCCTCTGACTCCCGGCTGGAGCAGACCGGGGCTCTCCGTGTCAAGTGGCAGCACAAGCCTTTGTGGCAGCTAATAATTTCTTTTTTTTTTTTTTTTTTTAAATAGGGGCTGATTAGCTCATTAAGAATAAACTAATTTTCCTTGGAAATCAGCAGCCCTCTAATTAACTGGCAGCCAGATTTAGCTGAGCAGAACGAAGGTAACCCAGATACCGCCGAGCCGCTCGGCCTTGGCTTCACTGCCACGCACTTTTGGATTCTCCCCCTGCTTTCTGCCCTCAGTTCTGCTCAGCAGAGCCCCCCAGAATCTGTGCCACTGCATCCCATATGGCCCTCCCTGCGCAGCAGCGATCCCGGCTCCTCACGGCTTCGGGGAGCCGGGAAGGGGCTGTGTGGGATGGGAAGACGGAGCTTGGCTGTGCTTTGTTCCTCCAGCCTCTCCCCAAGCCTGTCCTCCCACCCTGTGCTGCTCAGATCCCAAATCCTGGCTCCTGAGCCGCTGGGAAGCAGCGTCTCCCCAGCACCACGAGGGGTTTGTGCCAGAAATATCCCCGGGGAGTGGGCGAAGGACAGCGCGGAGGCTCCGGCTGAGCCTCGGCAGGAGGGGGAGGATTCGCTCCCCAATCCATGGCAACAGGAGAACCACAGAGTCCTGCAAGGGTTTGGGTTGGAAGGGGCCTTAAAGCTCATCTTGTTCCACCCCATGCCAGGGGCAGGGACACCTCCCACCAGCCCAGGTTGCTCCAAGTCAGCCTTGAGGGTTCAGTCCAGGGGAGAGGAGGCCACGTGGAAAATGTCCAGTTATTCTGCTCAGAGAGAATGGCTTGAGCTCCATCACCACAAACAAAATCCAGTCCTGCTTGGAGGGTGCAATTCCACAGGAGAGGAACTCAGTGACATCAATCCCTGCTCGTGGTCCTGACAGACCATTCCTCTGGAGCCAGGCTGGGAGAGTTGGGGGGGCTCACCTGGAGAAGAGAAGGATCCAGGGAGACCTGAGAGCCTCTTGCAGGGCCTAAAGGGGCTCCAGGAGAGCTGGAGAGGGACCTGGGACAAGGGGGTTGCTGGGGTGGCCGTGGGGTCCCTCAGGTCCCCTTTGCAGGGGAGGGTGGTGGCATCACTTCCACAGTGCCAGAGGGATCCCTGTTCCCCAGGGGACAAGGATAACTTGTTTTCCAGAGGCAGACAATGTTATCTGCCCGGAGGAAGCAGGAACAGGAAGGGGGAGTCTCTGTTTACACGGAGGAAGCCGAAATCCAAACCCATTGATGGTGTCAGCGCTGCCTGTCGGGGCTGGGGCTGCTCTGGGGGAGCTGCTCCAGCTCTGCCCGGGGGTGGGGCAGGAGAGGGGTGGGATAGGGGACAGATCCCTCATCCCACTGTGTCCAGGGCTGCTTTGCTGCTGCTGATGGGTGGATGTGCCCATGGAGTGTGAGCATGGATTGTCCCTCTGCCTGGGGTAGTTGAGGTTGTTCCTTCCCCAGAAGGGTTGTCCAGCACTGGAAGAGGCTGTGGTGGAGTCCCCATCCCTGAGGGATTTAAAATCCATGTGGATGTGGCACCTGGGGACATGGGTGGCCTTGGCCATGGTCTGGTCTGGATGGTCTTCAAGGTGTTTTCCAGCCCAAAGGATTCTGTGGGACATTGGTGCCCATCACTGCTGGGGGTCTGCACAAGTCCATGGGGGTGACAGATCCATCAATCCCCCATGGAATTCCCAAACCCCCACAGCAGCCCAGGGGGCAGAGGGACAGCAGGTCACAGAGTCACAGAAATATCTGAGTTTGGGAAAGGCCTCCAAGATCATCAAATCCAACCCTGGACTGATCCCTACCTCATCACCCACCCCAGAGCACTCAGAACTCCTCAGATCCGAAGCAGGCAGGACTCACACCCACCTGGGACCCAAAGATCCAAAAGGATGGGGGAAAACAACTTACTGCAATAATTCCAGGGGTTTAGGGGCACCTGGGAAGGTGCAGAAGGTCCCTGGAATGGAGCTGGAGGAGGAGAAAACCACAGGGAGGAGGAAGGAGCAGATGCCCCTGGGGGAGATGCTGTGGTTGTGGTGGGAAGGGAGATGCAGGTTGGAATGCTGGGATCACAGGAGGCTTTGGGTGGTGCTGCAGGGAGCACTGCCCTGCCTCACCCCCAGCACAGGGAGGGGACATTCCCGGTGTCCCAGGGAGCAGTGCCATTGTCCCTGGATGGGCTGGGGTCCCTGACACCCTCTGGGTGCCCTGGGATGGCAGCTGGCAAGCAGGAACACTGGGAATGCTGCCCTGGCTCCTTGTCCTGGCTCCAGCTCCTGGTGGCATCTGCTCCCTTGGTGATCCCAAGGGACTCCCCCCTTGCCAGGGCTGGGCAGAGAAGGGGCAAACTCATCACACACCCCCTCCCCTCCCTCCCCAGGGCTGCTCTTCCAAAGCACCAGGAGTTTTCTGCAGGAAAATCCCCCAGAACCCTCTCTGTTCCTGTGTGCCCTGATCCAGTTCCCACGTCCTTGGAGCTGTCCTACCTTTACACTCGGGACACAGGAGACTCCCCTGCTCTGAACTCATTTCCTCTCGTTTTTTCTCTGCCTGATTTGAGGCTGCAGGAGACATTTTTTTTAACCTACAGCTGGTCAGGGGAAAAAAAATTAAAAAAAAAGACCTGAGGCTTAAAAAAAAAAATAAAGCTGATTCTTCAGCATTGCTGTTCCCACCTGGTGTCCCTAAATTCATCAATGAGAGGCAGCTGTGGGAAGCCCAGCCCTGGGATCTGGCTGATTTTAACACCTGGATTAGTTATAAAAAAAAAAAAAAATCAGGGTAAAATTGTAATGCTGGTTTGGATCAGAGGGGGAAAGAAGGAGAAAATGAGGGGTTTGGGGCCAGCAGAGCAAGGGAGGGGAAATGGGGAGTTTATGGCTGGGTTTGCAGCAAAGCCTGAGGTTGAGCCTGGGCTTTGCTGGGCTCTCAGTGCAGCCCTTCCTGCCCCCTCTGCCGGCTAAAATCCACAGGAACCTCATCCACGCCGGGAAAAAATGGCTTTTTGTTACCAATAACCACGGATTTATCTTTAATGTCCATAATCCAATTTCACAGGGACATTAGAGGGGCTTTTGTCTTTTTAATTAACAAGCTCGAGCCTGGCTGTTGCTTTTATGGCGCAGAGAAATCCTCCTGGGGGTTTCATCTGTGCAAATTGTTTGTCAAGAGCTGCTGTGTGGGTCGTTTTGGGGGTTTCAGGGATCCAGGGGCACGGGTTCCGTGAGTCCAGTGTGGCTGGAGAAGCTCCTGTGATAGTTATTCCAAGTGGGAATTCCGAGTGCCTGCCTGGGCAGATGATGCTCACAGCCCTTGACAGTGTTTATATTTAATTTAACGGCGTTTATATTTAATTTAGGAGTATTTCTGTTTAATTTAAGGGTATTTCTGTTTAATTTAGCAGCTTTTCTATCCACACAAGAGGAGTAGCTGGGATTTAAACCTCCGTCCTGCTGAAAATGGTGTCGAGTGACACCAATTTTATGGCTTGTGGGGTTCAGTTGTATCATTAAGAGGAGCGAAATCCCATGTAAATTGATGTTATTTTTTTATAGTAAATAATCTGAGCTCCTTTAGCTCAAAGGATCCCAAAAGGTGGGGTGTATAGGTTTGGTTTTGGGGCCTCATGACAAGGAAGGGGCTGGAGGGGTCGGGCTCTGCTCCCAGGGAACAGGGACAGGAGGAGAGGGAACGGCCTCAGGCTGTGCCAGGGGAGGGACAGGTTGGATATTGGGACAAATCTGTGTAATTCCCTCCTTTTGGCTCTCAGGGAGGAGAGCCCTTCTTTTAAAGAGCCAGCAGTGAATGTATTTACCCTTAATCTCAGCCACTGGGGACTCGTGTGTACTCAAGGATTTCCTGGGAAACCCTGTAAATCCCCCTGGGCTCAGGCAGCGCTTCCCTGATCCCGCTCTGCCAGCTAATCAGGGATCAGGGAGCAGCTGGGGAGCTGCTGGATGGCAAGGGTGGCCCTGGGGCTGGGGGTGGGGGCTCCTTCCTTGGGGATTGTCCCCAGGGATGGCTGTGGAGGGGTTGGCACCTGGATGCTGTGATGTTTTCCAGGTGGGCAGAGCTGAATAAAGGGTTTGGGTGGAAATGTGAGGATTGGGAAGCGCTCTGGGTTTGTCTTTCCAGGGAAGCTGGTGAAGGGTTTAGGAAATGTGTGTGTGCACTGGAATGATTTATCTGAGCTTCCTGCTGGCTGGTGCAGAGGGAATGTGCATTCCTGCCCTGGGGAGACCAGGCTGTGCTGCTTCCAGGGTTGAAGGGGTGACAATTCCCATCCCTGGAGTCTGAAGATGCCCAGGATGGTCCTTGACAGGGCAGTTCCTCGTGAGCTGTGGGTCCCTCTGCCCTTGCTGCTGTTCCAGCCCTTCCCAGGGAACGTTTCCTTCTCCCTCTCCAAGCCCTGAAATCCCTGAATGAAACCAGCTTTTAAAAACATTCCCTTTCTCCCCCCGAGGAAACACAAACCCTGTCCCCCTTTCCCAGCTGCTCCAGCAGAGGGAGGGGTTGAGGCTGGGGAAGATTTGGCTCCTTCCAGCCCATCCCAGGAAAGCTCTGGAGCTGCTGGAGCCACTCGTGGCTCCTCACCTGGCCCTGCAGGGACAGATCTGGGTCACTGAGCTCCCCTCAGCCCGGGCTCAGGATCCAGGGATTAGGATTCACCTTGGCTTAAGGCAGGGCTGCTGCCAAGGCCCCTGGGAGAGAGACTGCACAGCAAAGCACGACCCAAATCCCTGCTTTTTGAACTCCCTTCCCCCTTTTTCTTGCCTTTATTTGGCTCCTTCTCCTCTCCCAGGTGCCCTGGGCATGGCACAACCCACCCCTTGGGCCAGTTTTAATCAAAACTCATAATTTCTCGGGCAAAAATCTGACTGAGCTATCCCTGCCTATAAATCAAAGGTAGATTTTTTTTTTTCCCATGGAAAAAACTTGTAGAATGTAAAAAAAATCTGAGTTTTCCATGAAAATGCTGAGTTTAGATATCGAGATGCTTTTAGTGAAAAGCAGCATTTTCTTAACTCTTGCCCTCCACCCCTTCTTGGAAAATCAATTTTGGATCAAACCTGTTTTCTCTGCACCAGAAAGACTCTATTTTTATTTAACTGAAGGTTTTCTGATGATTTCTCTGGTGGTTTGGCCCACGAGCTCTCAGTGGCTCCTCCTCAGGTCTTGCTTTTCCTTGGAAGGGGGGTCCTGGGGGGCAATCCTTGGGATACTGGGGGCTGTTGTCCCCCACTGGGCAGGTTTGGTGGGACAGTGACTTCCCAAAGGCCTTGGCCACTGAGGGAAAGGAACATTTAAAACATATTTAAATATCAATGTGATATTTAAATGTTTGAACAGGGATGTGTCCAAGGTTGAACTTGGTGGCCTTGGAGGTCTTTTCCATCCTTAATGATTCTGAGTTTCCAGTGTGGGGCCCTTCCTGTCGGATGCTCCAGGGTTTGGGATTTAGGCAAGGAAAAGTCTCCTGGGAGGAAGGAGGGGGGGATGAGGAAAGGTTGGGGCTTCAGGGCACCGTCCCTTGGGCTGTGGCATCATCCAGAGGTTTGGGACACCCTGGGAAGGCTGTCAGGAAGTCACTTGGCTTGGTTTTATCCCTAAAAAGCTGAACTGGTTTCTATCAGCACTAAACCCTCCCAAATCTGGGACACTCCCAGGAAAACTCCCTTTGTGCTGTTCAGGAATATCAGTCGTTTTATCCAGGGGGAGGATCCAGGGAAATGCAGCAGAAAGCTCCTTAGTGGGGGGGCAGGGGCACTTCAGGATCCAGGGTGGATGTGGCTGCTCAGGTCTGAGCCACGGGGTCGCTGATGGGCAGAATTCCCAAAGTTTGGGCTCCCTGAGCAGGCCAAAGGGATGCTGTTGGCACTGGAAGGAGGTGGATGCAGCAGCCCCATCCCGGCTCTCCCTGCCCCTCCACCCCTGGAATTGTCCCTGCTGGAGCTGAAATCCCCCAGGCAGGATCCAGGCCCGGGGAACACGATCCCTGCACCATCTGGGGCGGGAATTTGCCTGCCATGCCCTAATTAAAGAGGCTCCTGGGCTGGGAATCCATCAGGAATTAATGAGGGCTTGTCCCCAATGGTGGGAAGGGCAGAGGGAGGACAGCAGAGGGAGGACAGCAGAGGGAGGACAGCAGAGGGAGGACAGCAGAGGAGGACAGCAGAGGGAGGACAGCAGTGCCCCCACCCAGGGGATGGAGCTGTTTGTTCATGGAGTGCAGGCCCAGGGAGCAGGGACCTATTTTTGTCCTTCACCTCAATACCCAGAGTGACCCATAAAACACATCCCGGGGCTGCAGGGCCGGATCAGGTCACGGCTCTGCCCCAGGGAGGGCTCAGAGCTCCTGCAGGAATTCGGGCAGGAGCTGCCTCTTCCATAAAAGTGCCTGGAAAAAAGTACTTTTTAATTGATAAGGGATTTGAAAATTGGTGAAGTGTTTTAAAGCTGAGAAAGGATTCTGAAAGTGAGAGAGGATTCTAAAACTGAGAAAGGGTTTTAAAGTTGAGAAAGGATTTTAAAATTGCTCAGGGGTCTGCAGAGGGTTTGGTTGGTCTGCTCCGGGTTGGAATCCACCGGAGCCACCTGGCATTTGGCATCTCTGTCACCTTGAGAGCAAATCAATCCAAATAAGCCTTAATCCACACAAACCACCCCAGCAGCCACAGTGCAGGGGCTCACCCTGGGCCTGCCCGGAGCTCTCCTGGTTTCCCTGAGCTTCCCGTGGCTCGAAGGCAGCGCCTTCCTTTGTTCCCGTCACACGGAGCCGGGAGCTCAGCCGGGAGAGGTCAGAGCTGGGAGGGCCATGAAATATTTAGTGGTGTGTGGTGCTGACCTACTTAGTCTGCACGCTCCAGGCACGGTGCCTGTGGGTGTGGGAAGGAGCCAGTGGGGGAAAGGAAGGGCGGTGGGATGTGGTGGGACACGGAGATTCCCGGCCAGGTCCCTGTGAGGGGGATCCCGTCACCCATCCGTGCTGGGAATCTCACCTGGGGCTGTCCTCTGCCGTTCTGTCCTCCTCCATCCACAGCAGCTTTGCAAGCATTTCCATCCGTGTGGAAGGGTCCCATCCATGTGGAAGGGTCCCATCCATGTGGAAGGGTCCCATCCACGTGGAAGGATCCCATCGTGGTGTGGCACCAGCAGGAGTGCCGATGATCCCGGAGGTGCTGGGGGTTGGTCCCGCAGGGGAGGTCCGTGGACCATGGTCGTATATTCCAAAGAAATATCAAGGAATTCAACCAAGCCAGGCTGGACAGGGCTTGGAACAACCTGGGATAGTGGAAGGTGTCCCTGGGGGTGGAATGAGGTGATCTTTAAGGCCCTTTCCAACCCAACCTGCTCTGGGATTCTGGGGTTCATGGCTGGATGGCTGATCTGACCTGAGGGTTTCTTTGGGGCATCTCGAGTCCCTTCCAACCCTTTTGTCCTTGGTTTTGGATTGTCCTGCAAAGGGGAGGTTTAGGTTGGATATCAGGAAAATTTCTTCCCCACAAGGGTTGTCCAGCCCAGGGCAGGGGTGGATCTCCATCCCTGAGGGATTTAGAAGCCCTGTGGATGTGCCACTTTGGGATGTGGGTCAGAGGTGGCCGTGCTGGGTTGGACTCGATGATCTCAGAGGGCTTTTCCAGCCTAACCAATTGTGTGATCCTACAAATTCCCACTGAGCTCCCCAGCTGTGTCCTCATCTGGGTGGAGCAGCCCCAGGGGGGGCCGTGTTTGCTGAAACCCCTTCCCATATTTGGATGAACCACAGGCACCCCTGGAATTCTGGTGGGATAAAACCGACACCAGGCTTGGCTGGGGGTCTCCTCCATCCCCAAACCCCCCGCCAGGCTCAGCCACGGCTCTGGCTCCTCTGCCGAGCTCCCACCCTCCAAACTCCCCATCTGGGGGCTGTTTAGCTGGAATTTGGGATGGTTTTGCTGATGCGTGGCTCGATGTCCCTGGACAGACAGGCCGGATCGAACCCAACTACCCCAAGGTGTGCGGGCACCAGGGCAACGTGCTGGACATCAAGTGGAACCCCTTCATTGAGAACATCATCGCGTCCTGCTCCGAGGACACCACGGTGAGTGGGGACGCCCCGGGCTGGCACCTCCCTCCTCTCACATATGCATTTCATCTATTTATTCCTTTCCATTAAAATATGTAAAGATATGACAGATATAAAAATATAAAATTGTTAGACACATAATTGATTTTAATTGATTTTTAATTATTATAAATTTTATAGTTATGTAATGTTTTATCATAATATATTATTTTCTGACAATATTTATAATTAATTTGAAATGCGATTTATAAAGCATTCCTTGATGAATTATTAAGTATATTAAATATATACATATTTATATATTTATATAATTATATATACATATACATAATTATATATTTTTATTTATGCATAAAAATATATATTGAATATATACAGAAATTTGTGCATATATATTTTGACATAATTGATACTACATAAATTACTTAAATATAAATATGTGTTTAAATAGATATCTATATCTATTTATATCCATTATATCCATGATATCTATAATATCTATTTATATTCACTTATATATTACTTACTAAACACAAATGATATATAAGTAAATATAAATATATGTTTAAGTATAAATTTCTATCTATTTATAGGTAATTCATGTGCAGAGCTGTGCTGAGCTCCAGGGGGGGTTGCAGCACAGTGTCCTGCTTGCAGGAGTCATTTCCCTGTGGAATGTCAGCTGTTTCAGGAACAATTTCCTTGAGGAGGTTCCCTAGGCAGGGTTGGGAGGGGAAATGTCCATGTGCCCTCTCCTGCTCTCGCTGTGTGCTGGAATCGCTGCTGGGGCTGCTCCTCTGGGGCCTTTTTAACGAGACTTTTCCCAAAGCATCCTTTCCATCCCGGGCTGGGATGAGTTTTGGGTGAGCTCCAGCTGTGCCTGTCCTGCCAAGGGAGCAGTGTCAGTGCTGTGACCGTCCTGACCATCCATTTCCAGGCCATTGTGGGGAAACCTGCCCAAAATAGCCCGTCCCTGGCACTTCCTCTGCTTTTTGGCAAATCCAAGGAGTGATGTAACCCGGCTGGGCCGCAGAGGTGACGCTGCTGCAGGGCCCTGGCCGTGGTTCCCAGCTGGGCAGGGATGCAGGACGTGTTACACCCATCCCTGGGCTGCCTGCCCCGAGAGCTGCTCCCTGAGCTGAGGTGACAGCACGAGGAGCTTTCCCCGTGTCCTCCTGGGCTGGGGCTGCAGGAGCCTCTCCGGAGCTCTCTCTGAGCAGGAGGTTTGGTAACAGTTGTTTCATAACCCACTGCTTTCATAACCAGCTCCTCCAACACCCAACAACCAGCCTTGTGTGGCTTGTCCTCGGGTTGTGTGCCTTGTCCTCATGTTGTGCCCTGTCTGAAATCCTCTGCTGCTCTTGGAATTGTCCCTTGGAGCCACAGCACCCCCGCAGCCGTGTCTGTCTCAAGATGCCCCTCCCTCTGCACCCCAACAGCAGGGCCTCCCTCCCCTTAAGAGGCAGAAAATCCTCATGCAGATTTTTCACTGCACTAATTGGGAATTAATTTTTGTGGCCCCCCTTGCTGGATGGACGGGACAATCCTTGGGGTGTGGGGGAAGAGAGGGAGGAGAGGCTGAAGGGGCGGCAGGATCGGCCTTTGGCAGGCTGGGAGAGCTGGGGGGGCTCACCTGGAGGAGAGAAGGATCCAGGGAGACCTGAGAGCCCCTTCCAGGGCCTGAAAGGGTCTCCAGGAGAGCTGAAGAGGGACTGGGGACAAGGGATGGAGGGGCAGGACACAGGGAATGGCTTCCCAGTGCCAGAGCAGAGGGACTGGGACAAGGACATTGTGGCATTGGGGTGTGGGACGAGGCTGCCGTGGAGGCACCACAGGGACTCAGCGGCTCAGAGCCCCCAGGAGGGCGTTGGGGTGTCCTGGGTATTCCAAACCCATCGCAGGGCCTGCCCCGTCCCACAGGTGCGGATCTGGGAGATTCCCGAGGGGGGCTGAAGAGGAACATGACGGAGGCCGTGCTGGAGCTCTACGGGCACAGCCGGCGCGTGGGGCTGGTCGAGTGGCACCCGACCACCAACAACATCCTCTTCAGCGCCGGCTACGACTACAAGGTGAGCGTGCCCGGGAGTGCTGCGGCTCTGCCGGGAATGCCCCCGGGAAGGCCTTTCCCTGCTCGTGGCACGGGCTGGGGGTCGCCAGGGCGTGACCACGGAGAACGGATTTGGGTCGGGAGGGACCTGGGAGGATCCACTTTCCGCTAGCCCAGGTTTCTCCTTCCCGCAGGTGCTGATCTGGAACCTGGACATCGGGGAGCCGGTGAAGATGATCGACTGCCACACGGACGTGATCCTGTGCATGTCCTTCAACACGGACGGCAGCCTGCTGGCCACCACCTGCAAGGACAAGAAGCTGCGCGTGGTGGAGCCGCGCTCCGGGCGGGTCCTGCAGGTGCCGTGGTGTGAGGGGGGGTTGGCAATCAGATCCTGGGGGGGGAGGAATTCCCGCTGAAACGGCCAAAAGCGTCTGCGAGGGGCTGCTCGTGCTCGTGGGAAGACGCTTGGCACACGGGGCAGGGGCTGCAGGAGATCCTCGGCTTGGGGAGGGCTCTTCCGTCGGGTCGAGATGATGGGGAGGGCTCGGCCTCATCCCGAGCAGAGCATTTGGAGGCTTTTACTCCTTTGTTAATTTAGGATTTGTGGGAAATAGTGGAAATGGAAGGGGAGGTGCAGAGGTCACAGGTTGGAGGGAGGTGGGGGGTTCTCAGTAAAGGTGGTCTCGAATATTCAGGGAAATGGGCACGTTTGGCGTGCACAGGGGACAGGTCCTGAGGCACAGTGTCCCCACACAGCTGGGGACAGAGCTGGCATTTCACAGGGGACAGGTCCTGAGGCACAGTGTCCCCACACGGCTGGGGACAGAGCTGGCATTTCACAGGGACGAGGAGGGAGAGGAGAGAGGGGCAAGGCAGGGCCTTTCCTGGGGTCTCAGTGGCGCTGACAGAGCTCACCCTGCCCTGCAGGAGGCCAGCTGCAAGAACCACCGAGTCAACAGGGTGGTGTTCCTGGGCAGCACCAAGAGGCTGCTCACCACGGGCGTGTCGCGCTGGAACACGCGGCAGATCGCCCTGTGGGACCAGGTGGGTGCTGGGACCATCCCTGCCCCATCCCTGCTGCAATCCCCCTCCATCCCTGCCGGACCCTGCTCAAGCCATGTCCCTGTTTTTCAGGAAGACCTGTCCATGCCCCTGATCGAGGAGGAGATCGATGGGCTCTCGGGGCTCCTCTTCCCGTTCTACGACGCTGACACCCACATGCTGTACCTGGCGGGGAAGGTATGGGGTGCGTGGGGCACCTTCCTGGGCATTCCCAGCCCGTGTGCCCCCAGCACTGCCCAGGGACACTTGGACACTTGCAGGGATGGGGCAGCCGCAGATCCTCTGGGCAACCTGTGCCAGGGCCCCCCCACCCTCACAGGGGGAATTTCTTCCCAGTATCCCAGCTAACCCTGCCCTCTAACTGGTCTTTATGGTGGCCTTTTTTCCTGCTCACATTTCCCAGAGGAATAACCTGTCCCTGTTCCCTGTGCTGCTCCAGGGCGACGGCAACATCCGCTACTACGAGATTGGCTCCGAGAAGCCCTACCTGAGTTACCTCATGGAATTCCGCTCCCCCGCCCCCCAGAAAGGACTGGGTAAGGATCCCGGGCACAGCTCCCCTGCTTGGGGCAGGGAAGAGCTGGAGCATGGAAGGTGCTTAATTAAATGTCACAGGCAAACGGGTTTGGCTCAGGTTTGGGATGGGTTCAGGATGGGTTTGGCAGGTGCTGTTCCAGCTCTGGAGCATCAGCTGCAGCTCTTGCAGGGCAACATTCCCACCCCTGTTCTGCCCTTCCCGTGGTGATTCAGCCCTGCTGGGGTTGGTGCATGTCCAGGGACACCCCTCCCGCTGTCACCCGTGGCTTCACCAGGGGACATCAGCAATTGTCCCAAATAAAAGCTACTCATCCCTCTCCTAACACCCTGCAAACCCGGTGTGGCCCATCTCCAGGTGCTCGGGGTGATGCCAGGGTTAATCAGTGAGCAGCAGGGGCTGTGGGGGACAGCAGGGCCGTGGGGGACAGCAGGGCTGTGGGGGACAGCAGGGCTGTGGGGGACAGCAGGGCTGTGGGGGCTGTGTGTGCCGGGGTGACGGGCGGTGCCTGCTCCACAGGGGTGATGCCGAAGCACGGCCTGGACGTGTCGGCCTGTGAGGTCTTTCGGTTCTACAAACTCATCACCCTCAAGGGGCTCATCGAGCCCATCTCCATGATCGTGCCCAGGAGGGTGAGTGCACGGGGCTGTCTGGGGAGGGCCCAGAGGGATGGACGTGCCCCGCTCTGCCCAGTCCCGTGGTTGGGTCTCTTTGCACCAGGCTCAGACCTCTCCATCCTTTCACATCCCGGGGGGTTCCCGGGGGGGTTTGGCCCGAGGTTTAAGGGGAATGTTTTTTTGGAGTTGCATCTCCACATTGCTCCTGGCAATCGTGTTGTGTGAAATCAACCTGGTCTGTGGGGCCAGGGAAAAAGGGGTTTGTCTCACCTGGGGTTTGGGGGTGTTTTGGAAAAACACATCTGGATCAGGGTTTAGTGTTGGGAAGCAAACCCAGGGCTGTGTGGAGGGCCCGCTCCCAGGTTCTGAGGCAGCTCAGCAGCTGCTCATCCTCCTCCATCCCTTCCCAGTGGCAGCCAGCACTTCCCAGATCTGCTCCCTGTGCCCCGAGCTGCCCAGCTGAGAGGTCACCCCCCAGTTTATCCCCTCCCCGGGGGTGTCCCCACTGCCCACGGGGAGGGCTCATGGAGGTGGGTGCTCTGCCCCTGTGTTTGCAGTCCGAGACCTACCAGGAGGACATTTACCCCATGACACCGGGCACGGAGCCTGCCCTGACCCCGGACGAGTGGCTGAGTGGCATGAACAGAGGTAAAGCCACTGGTGGCACTGGTGGCACCGGTGCCACACCAGGTGGGCACTGGCCGGGCAGCGGGACAGGGCTGCAGCCCCCCCTGACCCCATCCCCCCTGTGCCCCCTCAGATCCCATCCTGATGTCGCTGAAGGAGGGCTACAAGAGGACATCCAAAATTGTCTTCAAGGCCCCGGTGAGGGAGAAGAAGAGCGTTGTGGTCAATGGCATCGACCTGCTGGAGAACGTCCCGCCCCGCACGGAGAACGAGGTGGGGCAGCCCCGCCTGGGTGGGACATGGGGACAGCGGGGACAGGCTGGGTGGGGGGGACATGGTCAGGATGAACCTGGAAAGCCACCCCTCTGTAGGTCTCTGTATTCCCAGCCTGAGGCACTGTGTGCTTCCCTGCCCCCTGAAGCAGCCACGTCAGCCCTGGAGCTCCCAGAAGGAGCAGAGTGAAGCTCCTCCACTGGCTTTGGTTTTAATTAAAAGCCCTGTCTGGGAACAACACATGGAGGTGCTGGGGATACATCAGCACCTGCCCCTGGGAGGAGTTTGGTTTAGAATCACGGAATCCTGGAAAAGCTTAGGTTGGAAGGGACCTTAAAGCTCATCCAGTGCCACCCCCTGCCCTGGGCAGGGACACCTTCCACCAGCCCAGGTTGCTCCAAGCCCCATCCAGCCTGGCCTTGGACACTTCCAGGGATCCAGGGGCAGCCACAGCTTCTCTGGGCAACCTGTGCCAGGGCCTGCCCACCCTCATGATTAAAAATTTCTTCTCAATATCCCATCTAAATCTCCCATCCTTCAGTTTAAATCCATCCCCTTTTCCCATCACCACAGCTAAAAACTTTGTCCCCAGAATCATCTGGACTGGGGCGCAGTCCCAGCACAGCTCCGGGGCTGGGAGGAGGGTGACGTGGACGTTGTGCTCCCTGCAGCTCCATCCCTCCCTCTCCCTCCTTGCCTTGCAGCTCCTCCGGGTGTTTTTCCGGCAGCAGGACGAGATCCGGCGGCTGAAGGACGAGCTGTCCCAGAAGGACATTCGGATCCGGCAGCTCCAGCTGGAACTAAAGAACTTACGGAACAGCCCGAAGAACAATTAACTCCCAGGGACGTTTTCTAAATAAACTCTCCGTTGTTTCTACTCGCTCTTTAATTTTATTGTCCCCACTCACCCAGCCACGAGCCAGGAGCCCGCCGAGGTCCCAGCGCCGATGGATCCGCGTGTGCCCGGCACTAATCCCGCTCTAACGCTGCCTCCCAGGGGCCCGCGCTCCCCGTGAGTAGGAGCCGTGTGCCCCCCGCCCCCGGGACGAGCCGGATTCCCGGGAAAGCTGACGCTTCCTTGCTATTAATTTCTTTTCCTATGCAAAAAACGTGACGGCGGGGGCAGAACTGGGAGGGAGGGGTGGGGAGAAGGGCTGGATCACCCAGGCTGGGTCTGTGGGGGGAGGCTGGGAGCCCTCCCGGGGTGGGAAGCCCAGGATCCATCCCACGGTGGGAGCCCAGGACTCTTCCCATGGCGAGAGCCTGTGATCCTTTCCCATGGTGGGAATCCGGGATCCATCCCGCAGTTGGAGCCAGGGACCCCTTCCCACAGTGGGAGCCCAGGATCCCTCCCCTGGCACGGCCAGGCAGGCTCTGGCACGGGCAGGATTTGGCAGGAGCAGCCTGTGAGTGTCCCAGGGTGCAGCCCGGGAAGGGAGCGGCTCCACATGCACCAGTATCCTTTAAAATAACAAAAAGCCAGGCTGGGTTTCCTACCTGGAGAGGGAATTTTGCTCCTTCCACCTCTGCCAGGAGGGATTTTCCCCTCCTCCTGTCTGCTGGGACACTGCCAGTGCCACGGGGAGGGGGAAGGATGTCCCTGGGATGGTCCTGGGAAGGATGTCACGGTGCTGCCATAGGGATGGACCCTGTGGGATGGATCCCAAGGGATGGACTCTGTGGGATGGATCCCAAGGGATGGACCCTGTGGGATGGACCCTGCGGGTGTCGGTGGGTTCAGCACGTTGTACAATCACAGGTTTGATGGATTGGACCTGTAGCACAGACAGGGAACGACACCAAATACTGCTGGAATTCCTGGCTCTCCCCACTTTCACTGGCTCCGAGCTGCTGAGCTGCCTGGCATCCCCAGGGCAGGGCTGTCCCTCTGTCCCCGGCGTGTCCCGCTGCCCTCGTCGCGTCCCACGTGCTGTCAGTGCCCGTTACTATTTATGCTCCCACGGAATAGTGCTGGAATAAACTGTTTTCAGGATACCACAGCCTTGGTCACTCCTGTCTTTCCTCACCCAGGGGCTGTGTGGGAGTGCTGGGCCCCCACCCGAGGGCGTGGGGGGACCCCCAGGGGCATTTCTGGGTGTGCATGAAGGTGTCTGGGGGGGCAGGGGGTGGCTGGAGGGGGGAAACAGCCAAAGATGAATCCTGGAATGGTTTGGGGTGGAAGGGACCTTAAAAATCATCCATTTCCACTCCCTGCCACGGGCAGGGACACCTCCCACCAGCCCAGGTTGCTCCAAGTTCATCCAGCCTGGCCTTGGACGCTTCCAGGGATCCAGGGGCAGCCACAGCTTCTCTGGGCAACCTGTGCCAAGGCCTGCCCACCATCCCAGGAACAATTCCTTCCCAGTATCCCAGCTAAACCTACTCCCTTCCAGCTTTAACCCCCCCACTAAAATTCCATCCCCAGCTTTTACAAACCTCCTGTTTGTGACTGACCCCAAATTCCCAGGTCAAAATGCCTCTGTCAGGAGTGAGCAAGAAGGTGCTGTGAGGGCCGCTGAGATGGAAATGGAGGCTTTTAAGCTTTATTTCCCATTTTTCCTGCTGTTGAGGGATGTGTTATCCCTGGATGCCAGGACTGGAGCTCCTGGGTTTATCCTGCCCCACTCGTGGCTGCTCCGTGTGAGGTTGTCCACGTCCCGTGGCCTCTGAGGGGACCTGCTGCTTTAAATCACCCCTTGGAAGGGCAGAGCCAGTGTTTTTCCTTGGACTCCTGCGAAGTGAGCCCAACTACAGCTGCGGGTGGGGATGATTAACGAGCTAATTAACATATCTGCAAAGCTCAGCACGAACCCGGCCGCGCCTCCTCAGGAGGCTGGCGCAGGGTGTGACCCCGTGGGGTGGCTCCGGGTGGGCTCTGGGGAGGGGATCCCTTTGCAAAGGCTGCTCGGGGGGGCTCCCGAAATGTTTGGGATGCGCCAACAATCTCCAGCCGGAGCCGTGGCTGTGCAATTCCCAGGAAAAGCCCTCCCCCGGGATCGCGCTGCTCCTCCTGCACCTCCCCCTGTCGGTTCAGCTCCAGCTTTTCCCTCTGCACCAGCTGGGCTGTTGAAAGCAGGAATTCCCGGTTTGGGGAGGACACGGAGCTGTGTCACCCGCTGGAGGGACGGGATGTCATCCAGAGGGACCTGGATGGGCTGGAGAGCTGGGGGGGGCTCACCTGGAGATCCAGGGACACCTGAGAGCCCCTTCCAGGGCCTGAAGGGGCTCCTGGAGAGCTGGAGAGGGACTGGGGACAAGGCATGGAGGGACAGGACACAGGGAATGGCTTCCCACTGCCAGAGGGCAGGGACAGATGGGATACACGTGATTTTTTAGCTGCTTCTGGGTACTTTGCAGGGTTTTCCCTGTGTCTAAATCACACCTAGGAATCCATAACCTCCCAGCTCTCCTCCTGCCATGCCATTCCTGCCCTCTCCGTGCTCCTGCAGTGTCCACTGATCCCGTGCATTCCCAGACCCCTCCAGGACTTTATCCAGCCCCGTAATCCCCATTTACCGCAGCATTTCCCAAGCTGGCCCCGACCAAGGCTGAGCTCTCCCTGTTCCCATCCTGCTGCTGCATCAGCCCTCTGACACCCCCAGGGATAACAGGATTGATGGAAAAAGGCTCAGAGCCCTCAGCTGTCCCTTCCCTTCCCAACAGGCCCGTGGGGTGATGCCTTTCCCCCTGTTTTTCCCTTCCCTGGTAATGCCACCCCTCCCTGCTCATCCTTATCATCCTGACCTACTTTCTGCTTCCTGGAGGTTTTGCTTTGTCTGAGGCTCCTCAGCTGCAGGATTATTGTTAATTCCCGCTTTTCCAGCGTTGGGAGAGGCCCTATTTAAACGAAAACGAAAATTAAAACTGAAATTAAAATAAAAATACTCCCCAGAACTTACAGATGGAGGTACAAGGTCTGGGTCTGGAAATCAGGAATTAAGTAAGTGCTGTGGAGTTTCATTAACTGGGAGTTTCCCATCAGTTTTCTGAGGATGCTGCTGGTCCCTCCTTTTCCTGATTTCCCTAAAATCAAAGGGTGCTTTGTCCTGACAGAGATTGGCCCCTGTGGGGTTCAGCTCAGTGACTCTCCCTTGGGAGAAAGGCAAGAAATGACTGGGAATGTTTGACAAATTTGGTGTATTTTTAGGAATTTTGCATTGCTGCCTTTTGAACTGAAGTGAGATCCCCAGAATGCAACTCTCCCATCCCCAGAAAGGGCCTTTTCCAGCCCCAGAATCCAACTTTTCCATTCCTTCCCAGAGGCTTTCGAACACCCCAAGGGGAAGTTGATGCTCAAACAGAGCTGAAGCTCCCCCAGGACTTGTGCAGTGGATGGATCCTTCTCTGGGAATCCTGGAGCTCCCTGAGAGCTGGAGAGGGACTGGGAAAAGGACCTGGAGAGGGACTGGGAAAAGGACCTGGAGTGCCAGGAAAAGGGGGAACAGCTTCCCACTGACAGAGGGATTTGCTGAGATCTGTCACTTCCCACCTCCAACAGAAAGGCCTTTTTTTTTTCCCCAAAAAAGATCCAACTAAGAAGAAACAGAGGATTTTCCAGAGCTTCTCCAGCTCCTGCAGGGCACAGGAACGGGATTGGGAGCATCCAGAACGTGCTGCTCATTCCATAAATTCACCTTTAAGCCCCAGCTCGCTGCAGAGACAGGAAAAGCTGGAAACTCCTGGCACAGGGAGCCCTTCCCTGGACGCTCCCAAAGCAGCTTCCCCTGGGCTGCAGGAACCAGGAATTCTTTCTTCCAGGCCTGGATAAACAGGGAGAGGATTAAACAGCACACAGGATCATGTTTTGCTGGAATAATCCCACTGCTGCCACCAGGACCCCACATTCCAGAGGGAAAATGGCCCCAACTTCTCCCCTGGGTTCATCCAAGCACAGCCTGTTTATGGAGCAAAAGGTCTTCTGAAAATTTCTCAGGGAATTTCCCAGCCTGGCTTGTTGGACTCAAATAAGCCACAGGAAAATTGTATAAAAAGATTTATTGAAATTCATCAATGACAAACAGACATAAAACTCAAAGTTTGGCTCTTCTGGGAAAAAAAAAAAAGAAAAAACCAAAACAAACAAAAAAGAAAACCAAAAAGAAAAAAAAACCTGTTGCAAATGTATTTATACAGATGAAATATTGACTAGGAAATACAAGTCACTTCTAAAGCTATTTTTAAAGAGGGATATGAAAGTAAAACTGTACATTCACTAGGCATTTTCAGTCATTTTACTGACTTCCACTAGGTAAGAAAATACAATTTTAATTAGTATCTCGTGCTTGAGTGTATGAAAAGAAACCTCCTACCCTACATGCTGAACTGCCTCCTGGATTTAGGGGTGTAAAAAGTCTTTTTTTTTTCCAAGTATAGAGCACAAGTGGAAGTAGTTTCTCATCACTTAAAATCGACTCTATTGGTGTTATATATTACAGACCAAAATAGTACACACCTTATTTAAAAGGGTTGGAACATTTTGTTTTATTACAACTGTCAAATTCATCTCACTAGTAACTCAGGAATTAGGAACACTTTTTATATATATTTATATATATATTTAAATGCCTGCCATTTTCAGTGTCTTGGCTGCACCTCAGCCAAAAAAAAAAAAACAAACCCCAAAACAAAACAAAACTCCCCCCTCCCCTCCAAAAAGAAATTTAAAAACAAATGGAAAAAGGAAAAACACACAACACACAGGGCAGGGATTGCAAATTCACCCCACAAAGCAGATCCAAAGGAACACCCCAAAAGAAAAACAAGCCCAACAAAAAACATTTGGTCACTATTTACAGAGAAAAAAAAAAAAAAAGAAAAAAATTAAAAGCCAAAGGAGCTCCAAAAGCAGGAAGAAGTGGCTGAAAATGGCAGTCATTCCCAGGGGGAAAGGAAAAGCACGGAGCAAGATGCCATTCTCACCCTGTTGCTGTGGAGGGATGGTGCTCTGCCTCAAATCCCAGCAGCATCCCCCAAAAAAATGCTTGTTGGGTGTTTTATTTTAGTGACTGGGAAGGTCCCTCCATCCACCACCCTGTCCAAGTCTGCCATTTGGGGCATCAGCCCACCCTGGGCTGCAGCTTTTGGATCCTTATTTTCCTTCTGGGATGGCAAAGTATCCACTCCAAGAATAAGAAACAAATTACCACTTGGTTTATACTCACTATTGCAGTTACAGGGACTAAAGGAAGGGATTAAAAAGAAAGAAATTTCCAATGAATAGGAGGAGGAGTGGCAGTAAAAATAGTATTTTATTCCCTTGCCCACCCAGTCTCTGCTTCTCCCTCTCGTTCCCACAGCAACATTACAATCAGAAAAAAAAAAAAAAACAAAATAAAAGAAAAAAAAAAGGGGGGGGTTGGGGGTGTGGGGAGGGGAAATACAGGGTAAAAACAGTCAAATCACAATAGGAAAATTTCAAAATAGGTTCTTCAGTTTAGTCGTCCTCGTCCCCTTCGTCTTCAGGCTCTCGTTTCCTCTTCTGTCCCTGTTCCTCCTCTGGAAAACCAGAAGAGCCCCAGTTACCCCAGTGCTGCTGAGCAGCAGGAGCAGGAGCAGGACACCCCCACACCCAGCCCTGCTCCCTGCAAACCCCCCCTGCCAGCCCCAAAATTGGCATTTGGTGTGCAGGGGAAGGGTTGGGGCCGTACCGGGCTCCTCCTCGTCCTCGTCGTCGTCCACCTCGCCGTCGTTGTAGCCTTCCTCGTCCTCCTGGGGGTCAGGACAGCAGGCAGGGTCAGAGGGGGGCAGGGCAGCAGTGTGGACAGTTTGGCAATTTAACAGTGGTCAGAGTTCACAGATTGACAACAGAACTCCAACGGAATTTCACAACGGAGGGAAAACCCGAGAAAGGAATCACTTCCCTCACACTTATAAAGGGAGGGGGGTGTATGGAATTACTGGGGTTTGGGAGGGAATAACTGGGGTTGGGATGGAGTAATTGGGGTTTGGGAGGGAATAAATGGGGTTGGGAGGGAATAACTGGGGTTGGGAGGGAATAACG